TTTATTATATATAGCTTCACTATATGTAACCGCCTACTATATATAATTATTTAGTATATATTTCTCTATCACATTTTTGCTATAAATCTTCAGCCTCCATATCCAACATTCTAGAGCCCAAATAGTCAGGGATTGACATCCTGCTAGAACACAAAGTCATTTACATGTCCCTAGCAAAATGTCTAGTAGTAATGGAGTCTAACCCAACGATCATTCAGACAAACATCCATCAACCAAGAGGGGTGAAAATGATGACAATAGTACAGTTGAGAAAGAATCTTAGCCATGATGAATCTACACTTGCTGCCATTGTTGTATTTGAAAAGGGGGAGCTCAAGTGTGCCAACCTCAACAAAAACTTTATTGCCACTACATGAACACCACGACCCAAAACAAGAAGGTCAGATATTGGGTTTAACCCCACCAAGAGAGATCAATCACAAGATTAGTTTTATGTCACCTACCACAAATAGATGTCATACAGCTCAGCTTGAGCTAGTTGAATTCTACAAATAGCAAAATGGTATGTTCACAGTCGGGTTTATTTGACCAGCAAAGGCTCTTGTCAGTGATCACTCAAATGCTTGGCAAAGACATCAAGCCAACACCTCTACTAAAGAAGGGAGACAAAAAAAAAACCACTAAAGCAACACATGTTCACGCAGAAATACCATCCAGATGGATGAAGAGAAGGGTCGACCACGATAATTTCAAAGCAAATAGAGAGTTATGATAAGTTAAGGTCAGATCAACTTTGAGTTCAAAGCAACAAGAACCAAAGATTGGTTCGAAAATTCTATGGACTAGTCAAAGTTGTCCACAAGATTAGGAAGACATCATATAGGATCCAATTGCTCCTATGGATATAGACTAACCCTGTTGTCCACGTCAGTAATTTGAAACGTTATTATTCCGACCAAGAAAACATCAAGTAAAAGCAGGTGGTATGACGTCATGCAAAGAAGAAATTGTTTCAAGCGAAGAAAGTAGGAAAGACACCAACAGAGAAGACTTGAAGAGTTAACAAACCGAGAAGTGATTTTCAAAAGCCTATGGATACAGACTAAACCCTATGGATACAGACTAACCCTGTTGTCCACGTCAGTAATTTGAAACGTTATTATTCCGACCAAGAAAACATCAAGTAAAAGCAGGTGGTATGATGTCATGCAAAGAAGAAATTGTTTCAAGCAAAGAAAGTAGGAAAGACACCAACAGAGAAGACTTGAAGAGTTAACAAACCGAGAAGTGATTTTCAAAAGCTCCTAGTAGGTTGGAAAAGACTTCTCAATACTGAGATCAGCTAGAAGCGCGTCGCGAGACCTAAAGTCAGCCCATCCTATAGCGTTGAGTTTATGAAGAGCCGGTTGATAGAGATATTGACAAATTACTTTTAGCTTATAACATTGCTTTATTTGAAATTATTTTTAACGTATTTCCTCGCTCACGTTTTCTAAAATATTTCTTCTAAACGTGATTCGAGCATACACTGCTATTGTTCATTCAGTCTAAATTTTGCATGGTTGACTTGTTCATTGGATTAGAACAAATGTCACATAATCATTGTCTCACTACTGCAAGAGTGCGATTGTGACACTTGAAATCCGTTCAGTTGTGGGCCGCATCTTCTGACTAGTTACGTGAGTTTGGCCTAGAGCATACGTGTAGCTTGAAAAAGAAATGGTTGGATGCGGACAGCGAATAAGGGTTGGGCCACGGAAGGTTTTTTTTTACCACATATGGACTTTGGGCTAGTGAGTCTTAAATTTGGGTTCGTTTGAAAAATTTTGGTTCGTTTTTTAGTTCAAACGAACCCAAATTAAACCTACTAGTTCCTTCTTCCTTGCACGACTTACTCTTATTCTCTATTCTACCTCTTCTTGCTCTTTGAAACTTCTTTAAAGGCTATTGTTTACCGATTATTTGGGAGCATCTTCCTTAAAAGGATTGTGACCACAGATGACCTATGTAGAAAATTTGTACCCTCTTTCCTAAAACCTTTAGCAGACAACATACCTAAAACAGGTGCGCTAACCAGACTACGCTACACCTCGTCTCACCCCCCCGGAGCATATGGATCCACCCAATCGATGAACGCTCAAACCAAACTCGCCCATCCTTTTTGGCACAGGGCGCAAGAACTAATCCGAGTAATCTACAGTGGGGAGACCCCTTAAAGCAATAAGCAAGAATGGCTAGGTTGATAGCAGGGTTAAAGAAAAGGCGAGTATGAAAAGACGTATCGCATAACTGTCCCTGTAAGCAGCTTCATTCTTTCTTGATCTATGATTCGACTTTATGAAAAAAATTAGTCTTTCGGCTGAAAGTGTGACTGTTGGGTATGGATAAGCAGGACCTCTTGGTTCTGGGATAACCGGAGATGTTGGATAAGAAAGCTAAGCAGGCAAGTACAGGACGGACAAAATGCACATACAAATTGATTGACATGATCCCTCTCCCTCTCTCTTTGGATAGTTGGCTAGTTCCGCGATAAGCAGGAAAGTATATCAGGTAGGGAAAGAAAGGCTGCTCGATCTCCTGTAAGGCCAACCCTCAACGGTGAGCTCACCAGGCAATGCTATAAAAGTCCGATAGAAGTCCAAGGTTTCGTCTACTACGGACCAGGAAGCTCTTGGAGGAGCTAACATGAAATGAAAAATACATTCGTTTACGACAACTAATAGATAGCGAACCTTTTGGTAGAAACTGAATGATCCCCTGGCTCGGGCAAGAAAAGGAAAAGGTAGTCGTACTCCTACTTTTTTCGTCGGACGATAGAAAAGTTTGAGCTAAAAGATTGAATAACACCTGGTAAGAAAGGCGGTCTTAGCAGGTTTCTCCAAATGTATAAACAAAAAGAGGAAGCAATCGGTCCTAAAGAGGATACCGATACGCATACATTCTCGCATGGAAGAACCTAGCTGAACCGGATCAAGGGTCCTAACTTAGTCCGACTGACCTTCTTTGGCTTGCCCCCGCCCTTGTAACAAGGTCAACCCGTACGTGCTCTTTCCTTTCGTTTAGCGAGATAGCTTACCAGCTCTTTCGGCTCATAGCAGCAGTATGAAAAGCGGAATCCTCATCCTGAGTCGAGTCCGCATTGCCATACGAATCGACATCGGCCAAACCAAGAGCTACTATTTTTTCTTTAATGAAAGCGGATCTAACAGTTTCGATAAAACCAACCTCTTCTAAAGAAGAAGTCGCTCTACCTTGATCACCGTGGACATATGCAGCTCCCGCTTTACCTTTGCCTACCGTGAAAGGGAAAGTTTCCTCAATAGGCTCTCCCAGCTCCCGAACGTCTTTCTATCAATCGAGAGAGGTATAGAATAGTACAACAAACCAACAAGACAAGAATGGACTCATAAGATGGGCGGTCAGGGAAACTGTTAAGGATATTTAGTAATAAATTATAGTTTACCATATATATTATATTTGATATTTTATTATAAGACAAATATCTAATATTTGCCTTATTACCATAGGTATCTTTCCATTTATTGTTATTTCCATTTATTACTATTTCCATATCCTTGTAATTTATTTGATTATAAATAAGATAAATTTCACACCATTTAGGTGTGGTGGATTCAGCAAACATTCACAGAAACGATTTCATTTGTGTTATCCGTCAAGGAAATGATCAAGGAATTCAGATCCTGAATAAAGTACTGTAGGCAAGCGAAGCTTTTGAAAATGAAAGCGTGTAGAACTCATATCCACTTTCTCTTCGATTCGTAAACTTCGGATCTGATATTCCTTTCCTCTCTGGGTGACTGAGAGACAATTTAGGCCTAGCGTGCATCCGATTCGGTCAACAATAAGGTACAAAGCGGATTGATTAAATGGGCTTGAAGTTCCATTATTGTTAGGTCGAAGATCTCTACTAGGTTTAGTGCACTTTGGTAGTTGTGAATGTTGCCGTAATCGAATGTCTTTCTCATTCAACATTCTCTCTTACCAAGCACTCATACTCGTCAGGGTTGAGGAGACAGTCCGTGAGCTAATTGGGTTTCGAGATTGCGTATACGCGAAAAGAGCTCGCTTTCGACTTTCTCCTCGGCGTTTTGTGCCCGATTCTGATTCAGGAAAGGGTCTGATCTCTTTCATTAGAGCACATTGATGCTGAAGGATTCTTCAGAACTGGCGGAGAGGCTATGATGACTTCAAGCTATTCAAATAGCATTACTGATACTACAAAGAAAGGGTATCTAAGTCAGACTAGTGGAATAGCTTTTTCATAATAATTATCTCGATATATGATACAAAAAACCTGCCTGATGACTGATAAGGTAAGGGGTTTCAAAAGACAAAAGAATTACAATTCTACGTGTGATAGGAAAGGGGACTGCCTTCCTGACCACGACTTTGCACTTATCAAGGTGACAGGATTTGAAGAGTTTCAAAAGACAAAAGAATTACAAAAACCTGCCTGATGACTGATAAGGTAAGGGGTTTCAAAAGACAAAAGAATTACAATTCTACGTGTGATAGAAAAGGAGACTGCCTTCCTGACCACGACTTTGCACTTATCAAGGTGACAGGATTTGAAGGGTTTCAAAAGACAAAAAAATTACACTTCTTCATCGGTTATGAAAAGTAAAAGACAAAAAAATTACACTTCTTCATCGGTTATGAAAAGTTCCTAGAAAGAATACAATTCGAACAATTTGTGTAATGCTCTTTTTGAAGTCGAGCTCGAGATGATCTTTATTCTTCCAAGAATATTATTGTTGGGGGCATTTTGAGAATCGAACTTGAGACCTCTCACACTCAAAATGATAATCATACCACTTTGACCAAATACCATTGTAGTCGATCTATAATTCTTAGTTGCTAGTCTATAAAAATTTATATAAGTTGAGCAATGCACACACATTTCTTTGGGTTAGGCCCATTGATAACTATTTTTTTTTTTTTTTGTTTCCTTTTGGAGGGGCATTCCGAGATTTGAACTCGAGACCTCTTGCACCCAAAGCAAAAATCATACCACTAAACCAAATGTCCTTATAATGAACCATATATTAAGTTGTTTCTGTTATGTATCATCATTATTTCATTTATTATTTTGTTAATGAAATCCATGAGCAATTATTATTATATCTTTTAGATCTAGATCGCTGTTAAATTATTTACATAGGGTTTACGATAATTACTGTAGAGAGAAGAAAAAAGAATAGAAGTAGTGTAAAAAGATAATTACTGTAGAAAGATAATTAATATAGAGAGAGAAGAAAAAAGAATAGAAGTAATGTAAAAAGAATAAAAGTTATGTTCAAAAAAATATAATTACTGTAGAGAGAAGAAAAAAAATAGAAGTAGTGTAAAAATTTGATAGTTCCATTTGAGACATATATCGTGGAGTACACAAGTATTAAAAGAGCATGTACTGTAGAAAGATAATTACTGTAGAGAGAAGAAAAAAGAATAGTAGTGTAAAAAGATAATTACTGTATAGAGAAGAAAAAAGAATAGAAGTAGTGTAAAAAGAATCAAAGTTATGTTCTAAAAAAGATAATTAGAAGTAGTGTAAAAATTTGATAGTTCCATTTGAGACATATATCGTGGAGTACACAAGTATTAAAAGAGGATTTACTGTAGAAAGATAATTACTGTAGAGAAAAGAAAAACGAATAGAAGTAGTAGAGAGAAGAAAAATTACTATAGAAAGAAGAAAAAAGAATAGTAGTGTAAAAAGATAATTACTGTAGAGAAAAGAAAAAAGAATAGAAGTAGTGTAAAAAGAATAAAAGTTATGTTCTAAAAAAGATAATTAGAAGTAGTGTAAAAATTTGATAGTTTCATTTGAGACATATATCGTGGAGTACACAAGTATTAAAAGAGCATTATCATTAAATGATGTACACACGTATTAAAAGAGCATTATCATTAAATGATAATACACTAACTTGTAGCACTTGCTGATGTACACAAGTATTAAAAGAGCAAGAAGTAGTGTAAAAATTTGATAGTTCCATTTGAGACATATACCGTGGAGTACACAAGTATTAGAAGAGCATTATCATTAAATGATGTACACAAGTATTAAAAGAGCATTATCATTAAATGATAATACACTAACTTGTAGCACTTGCTGATGTACACAAGTATTAAAAGAGCAAAAGATAATTAGAAGTAGTGTAAAAATTTGATAGTTCCATTTGAGACATATATCGTGCAGTACACAAGTATTAAAAAAGAGCATTATCATTAATTAAATGATGTACACTAACTTGTAGCACTTGCTTTCTCTGAGGCAAATTTTTGATGAATGAACATAGGGGCAGACCTCTCGCACCCTAAGCGAGAATCATACCACTAGACCAAATGCTCTTTATAAAAGAAATACAACATTTTTAACTCCAATTCAATATATTTTTTTCTCTCAAGTTTGAAATCTATTTTCTTGGGTGGTTGTTGGACTATAAAACAAAAATTTGATGGTCTAGTATTTTACTTGTAAGTAAGGCATGTAATATTGAATTGTTCTAATATGCAAGTGTTATCAAATAAACTACAACCCAACAAATGAATCAAACTAATCAATTTGGGTTGGGTTGGATTTATTTGGCTCAGTTCATCAATTTGTTTGATTTAATTCTTCTATTTTGCTTCGTATGACAAGAAAATGAAGTTATATTGAATGTACCATAGTTTGATTTATGACAAACTCATATGAAATATAATTGCATTAATAGTACTAAGAGTTGGAGTCTATAAACATTTCATGAACTCAAGTGCAACACATGCTTCATTAAAGACAGATAAACTTTAGTTAAGTAGCTGGAACTTTAAATTACTTCATGTGGCACTTCAATTACTCTATGTTAGCTACTATCTTTAGGATTTACTAATTGGACACGAGTTCTTGGATTTAGGGGATTGTTTTATGTAATTTTCAACTACAACTTATGTTTTCAAATTTTTAGGTCATAATTTAGGCAGTGGTTGTATATTATGGATGAACACTTTTGTTTCTATCCCGTTTACCACAACTACTCTATTTTTTGTTTGAGGCTATAATTGTCATCTATGTTGTATGACAATAAAATTTGTTTAGATGAAATTTTAGTTAAAGTTACATATTTTACTTCTTGCGAGTAAAAAATTTGTTTCTTAGCATAATATGAATTTAGTTGCAGAGTTATTAGGAATAAGATGGAGAAAGAAATTTTCTTTAAAATAATAAACAGACCCAAGTTTATCTTTGTTTTGTCTAATTGTGATTTTGCAAAAAGCTTAACTAATATGAAATATCAAGGTAAATCAAGAATATATCCTACACGTCATTCAAAAGGTAAATCAAGAATATATCCTACACGTCATTCAAGATGACAATAAAATGGAGTTAAATTGAACACAGTTTTAGTTTCATGTTAGTAGGTTCAAGATGAAGCATAATTGTATTAATGATATTAAAGAGAAATTCATGTTTTATTAGAAGAGACCAACTTCATTTAAGGTACTAGGAGTTTAAACTACTTCCATTGTAATTTCAATCACTCCACAATGATTACAAATTTAGGGTTGGCTACTTGAACATCAATTATCAACTTTAGGTTATAATTTAAGTAGTAGTCATTATAATATTAATGAGCATAAGAGCTACAATTCTTCCATGGACCATATGTGTTATAGTTAAATGAATATATATATATTATGTATGTCGAGGTTTGGGTAAAGCACAAAGTAGTAAGGAACACCATTGTCAACTCTAGAGCCACCCACAACTCATGATGGAGACCGATGCAAAATATTTTAACATCCTTTGGCATCAAGATACAGGAAAGATGAACGCCGTCAAATTGGAAGCTTTACCTGTCTTAAGAGTCACAATGAGAACTCTAATCAAGCTGGAGCCTTGGACTAGGCAAATTGTTTAGTGATAGTTGAAATGGATGACTTCGACGTCGTGTCAGGAATGAACGTTCTGCTGAAACACAAAGTCAGTTGTCAAGATTGGTAATGTGAGTTTGTAACCCATCCATTGAGGTTCTTGGAATGATTCCATAGCTTATCATTTCCATGTTGGGAGTTGTTGGAGCATGGGTCTTGGGCGAAGGAATCCTTTATTTATGGCCCTTGGAGTTGAAGGAAGTGTCAGAAGGCTAATTTTTTTTCAATTTTTTTTCTATTTATTGATTTTTTTTTAGTGATTTTATTTGATTTTATTTCAATTTTGTCAAACTCACTCACATGCTCATCTCAATCATTTCAGCCTTGTTGGCGTTCAATAAGAGAGACCTTGGAAATAACCTGTAACTATTTAACTGGATTATCACATTAACAATTTGAATCAAATAAAGTGAGATTAACCATTTTAATCATCTCAACCCCACTTGTTGAACTTGACCAAATGTCTATAACATAACACTAACAAAGGTACAAAGTAACACAAACAAAGGTACAAAGTAACACTAACAAAGGTACAAAGTTCATAAAAGTCTTTTTAATCTAAAATACCATTGAACTTGACCATTATAGTGCCTCTCAAACATAGGTAAAGTTTAAATTTGGGTCTCCTTGTCAAACTCACTCGGGTGCTCATCTCAACCATGATGGCGTTCAACAAGAGTGACCTCGAAAATAGCCGGATTATCGCATTAACCATTTGAATCACCTCAACCCCACTTGTTGAAATTGAAACAGATATCTATAACATAACACTAACATAGGTACGATGTTCGTAAAAGTCTTTTTAATCTAAGATACTATTGAACTTGACCATTACAGTGCCCCTCAAAATGAGGTAAAGTTTAAATATAATTGGTGACAAAAGATGAAACTATAAAATAAAAAGAATTAAGAAAATAATATTCAATTTCAGAGAATCAAACCAGAATCTCCTAGGTGAAAGCCAAATATCCAAACCGTTGGACAACAATGAATTTTTGGTGTAGTTGTCCTAAAGTCTTTTGTCTAATCGCCGAAGAGTTTTACTATGATGTTTTGGGTAATGTCTAACTCTTCGACACGCCCTTTCATGTGTGTGATAGAGTTCTCAAAGTTACCGCGATGTTTCGAGTTGTTCGATCGTGTGGCTCTTTCTTCAAAAGGGTCAACATCAAACGTCAGGTCTTTGATTGGCAACCTATCCAGAGGAGCGTCTTTGATCTCAACCATGACGTCGTTCAACAAGAGAGACCTAAAAAACGACTGGATTATCGCATTAACCATTTGAATCACCTGTTCATCTCAACCATGATGTCGTTCAACAAGAGAGACCTCGAACACGACTGGATTATCGCATTAACCATTTGAAATTGAACAAAACTCTAACAAAGGTACGAAGTTCATAAAAGTCTTTTTAATCTAAGATATGAACTGTAAAATAAAATGAAATAAGAAAATAATATTCCATTGCCGAGAATTGAACTCGAGTCTCGAGGGTGAAAGTCAGATATCCTGATCACTGGACGACAATGGATTTTTTGTGTTGATGTCCTGAAGTCTTTTGTCAGATCGCTGAAGAGTTTTAGCATGATCTTTTGCTTAATGTCTAACTCTTCGACACGTCCTTCCCTGCGTGCGTTAGAGTTCTCAGGGCTATCGCGACGTTTCAAGCTGTTCGATTGTGTGGCTCTTTCTTCAAGAAAGTCAATATCAAATGTTAGGTCTTTGATTGGCAACCCATCCAGGGGAGCGTCGATTGCATCGATTCCATCAACAATCTTCCCATGAGTTTATGGTGCATGACCCATTTTTTATACCATTCACCTTCGAGCACTACCCTAGTTTTGCATCGTCCATGAGATGCATTGCGGCTAACGTAACTCTCAGGTGGTATGAGAAAGTTCCTATAGCCCTCAACTCTCAGGTCGTATGATAGAGTTCTTAGAGCTACCGCGACATTTCGAGGTGTTTGATCGTGTGGCTTTTTCTTCAAAAGAGTCAATATCAAACATCAGGTCTTTAATTGGCAACCCATCAAGGGGAGCGTCGATTGCATCGATTCCATCAACGGTCTTCCCATGGGTTTATGGTGCATGACTCATTTTTTATATCAT